TACTGCAGAACTCCTCCCAAGGCAGTAGTAGACTGCAGTACTCCTTTCAAGGCAGTAGTAGACTGCAGAACTCCTCCCAAGGCAGTAGTAGAATGCAGTACTCCTCCCAAGGCAGTAGACTACTGCACTACTCCTCCCAAGGCAGTAGTAGACTGCAGAACTCCTCCCAAGGCAGTACACTTCTGCAGTACTCCTCCCAAGGCAGTAGACTTCTGCAGAGCTCTTTCCAAGGCAGAAGGAGACTGCAGTAATCCTCCCAAGGCAGTACACTTCTGCAGTTCTCCTCCCAAGGCAGTAGACTACTGCAGAACTCCTTCCAAGGCAGTAGTTGACTGTAGTACTCCTCCCAAGTCAGTAGTCTATTGCAGTACTCCTCCCAAGGCAGTAGACTACTGCAGTACTCCTCCCAAGGCAGTAGACTTCTGCAGAACTCTTTCCAAGGCAGAAGTAGACTGCAGTAATCCTCCCAAGGCAGTACACTTCCGCAGTTCTCCTCCCAAGGCAGTAGACCACTGCAGTACTCCTCCCAAGGTAGTAGACTTCTGCAGTTCTCCTCCCAAGGCAGTAGACTACTGCAAAACTCCTCCCAAGGCAGTACACTTCTGCAGTTCTACTCCCAAGGCAGAAGACTACTGCAGAACTCCTCCCAAGGCAGTAGACTGCTGCAGTACTCCTCCCAAGGCAGTAGAAGACTTCTGCAGTACTCCTCCCAAGGCAGTAGACTTCTGCAGTTCTCCTCCCAAGGCAGTAGACTACTGCAGAACTCCTTCCAAGGCAGAAGACTACTGCAGTACTCCTCCCAAGGCAGTAGACTACTGCAGTAATTCTCCCAAGGCATAAGACTACTGCAGAACTCCTCCCAAGGCAGTAGACTACTGCAGAACTCCTCCCAAGGCAGTAGACTTCTGCAGTACTTCTCCCAAGGCAGTAGTAGACTGCAGTACTCCTCCCAAGGCAGTAGTAGACTGCAGTACTCCTCCCAAGGCAGTAGACTTCTGCAGTTCTCCTCCCAAGGCAGTAGACTACTGCAGAACTCCTCCCAAGGCAGTAAACTTCTGCAGTTCTACTCCCAAGGCAGTAGACCTCTGCAGTACTCCTCCCAAAGCAGTAGTAGACTGCAGTACTCCTCCCAAGGCAGTACACTTCTGCAGTAC